AAAAAAAAAAAAAAGAAAAAAAGAAAAAGAATACGTCAATAATTTTCGGTCGCCTGTGGCAATTTTTACCGAGACTAACAACAACTGCTGAATTATTTTCTCAAGCTCGGCAGAAAGGGAAAGAGAAAACGTTCACGAAAAAGAAAAAAAAAAAAAAACGTTTCGTGAATCGAAAACTCACCGATGATCCCTCAGATGATCCTGCCTGCGAAACGCTTTCCCGCAGATGTCGCAGGAGTACGGCCTCTCGTCGGTGTGCGTTCTCTCGTGTATCAGCAGGTTGTAGCTTTTGGTGAACTGTCTGTTGCAGAACTTGCAGATGAACTGTTTCTTCGGCCTCTGGCCGGGCAGCCTCCTCGTGAGAAACGAGGCGGGCGGCGCGACCTGCGGGAACGCGTGATGCACGCCTTGATGGCCTTGGTGGTGATAAGGATGGGACACTGTTTGAGGACAACAGCCCCTGACGGCCAACAGCGCGGCACCTCTCAGCCAATTGTCGAGGAACGCAGCCTGATAACTCTGTCCGGTCGCTTGTTGGAATCTCGTGTTCAATTGCTGCGACCTGATCCACCTGGGCGACGTGATCTGCAGCTGCTGCTGCGGGTGCATCGATCTGTCCAACGTTGGCGGTGTGTGCGGCGGTGTCAGCGGCTCCATCTTTGTCTCCATGGTCTCTCGGACGCACAGAAAACAACGATATTTCGTTTCTCGAACGAACGTCAATCACACTGGATCTTCCGTATCCGGTATCGAGATCACGACGCGATCTGTTTATATCTCACACATGACTCCGATCGAGAACGACGACGAAGGAGGACGGTAGAGGAGGGAAGAGAAGGCAAGTGCTCTCTTCCCTACTGTCCAGATGCTCGCTGAAGTGGCGGAGAGGAAAAAAAAAAAAAATCGAGGACAACGTTGGCTCGAGAGTCGGCGCGGAACTAAATGCCAACGGACGGTCGTCGAGGTTCCAGGATCAGCGGTTACCTGACGCTGAAGGGGACACGGTGGCCCCTCCTACCGTGCCCTGAACGTTGGATACGCCGGTTGGCGGCTCGACTTCCACAGGGGCGGAGCTTCCGGGTCAGGATGACCCCTCCAGGCGTCGCGACGCTCGTTCACCAGTTCTTCCAACGTCGAGGAACGTACTCATACACGCAGAGAGCGGCGGCGAGTATTACAGGGGATCAGGCGGCCACCGGGCGGCTGGTTCGCGCTGCCGCTTTTACGCACCCCCGCAGGGGGGCTGAGCGCACCCGCGGCACCCGCGCTGCTAATCGCAGCCACTTTAATTGATCGTTAACGTGGTTAAACCGACGAAACGAACGAGCGATATACGCACGCAAGTATATCGGTACTTATGGAGATTCTGGTCTTCTTCAGCATTCGTTTTCTCCCGTTCAATCCCGTTCGGGATTGTTTGAGTGCGTTTGATGTACAATATGATTGTACAGGGTGGTCACTGAGAAATAAACATTTGAACACATGTTTGAACAAACTTTACGACTTTTCAAACCAAACCCTTCGGTTCTTTTAGTGTGTATTTGATGTATATTGTTTTTGAATGAAATTTTATGACAAGTGTTTTACTGTGGAAATTTTCTATAGTTCAAATTTTCCACAAGTCCAGGATAATTTGTCATTGTTGTTGATGTTTGAAATAAAATCGACTATTATTCCATGATGCAGAAGTAAATTTTTGGGGGAAATTTGTTGAAACAGAAAGTTGGAGATTGTTTGAGTGTGTTTGATGTACATCGTGGTCACTGGAAAATAAACTTTTGAACACATGTTTGAACAAACTTTACGACTTTTCAAACCCTTCGGTTTTTTTAGTGTGTATTGTACATTTAATGTATACTGTTTTTGAATGAAATTTTATGATAAGTGTTTTACTGTGGAAATTTTCTATAGTTCAAATTTTCCACAAGTCCAGGATAATTTGTCATTGTTGTTGATGTTTGAAATAAAATCGACTATTATTCCATTATGCAGAAGTAAATTTTTGGGGGAAATTTGTTGAAACAGAGAGTTGGAGATTGTTTGAGTGTGTTTGATGTACATCGTGGTCACTGGAAAATAATTTTTGAACACATGTTTGAACAAATTTTATGACTTTTCAAACCCTTCGGCTTTTTAGTGTGTATTGTACCTTTAATGTATATTTCACCCTGTATATTGTTTTTGAATTAAATTTACTTCATATTATGATACGTGTTTTACTGTGGAAATTTTCTATAGTTCAAATTTTCCACAAGTCCAGGATAATTTGTTATTGTTGTTGATGTTTAAAATAAAATCGACTATTATTCCATGATGCAGAAGTAAATTTTTGGAGGAAATTTGTTGAAACAGAAAGTTGGAGATTGTTTGAGTATGTTTGATGTACATCGTGATTGTACAGTATGTTGTTTTTGGACGATGTGTTACTAGACTGAGTGTCTTCTTTTTTATTATAATAGATGTTTTACTGTGGAAATTTCCTATAATTCAAATTTTCCACAAGTCCAGGATAATTTGTTACTGTTGTTGATGTTTAAAATAAAATCGAGTATTATTCCATGATGGAGAAGTAAATTTTTGAGGGAAATTTGTTGAAGCAGAAAGTTGTACGGTGTTTTAACAAGTGAAATATTCTTGGAACAAGGATTTTCATACGTAGAAATGGAATTTAAATAGAAATTTATTTTACCTGCTTCGAATATTTTCTACATGTTTGCAATATTCTTTACATTGTGCGTGTTTTTATACTTTCAAACATCCTTAATAAGGATTCGTAGAATAATTATATTGATCGAATGTTATTTTAGTCAATTATTTGATGTAATATTCACAAATATAGAAATATATTAGGAACATAAGAAGTAGAATCTATAATTATGATAAATACTCTGTACTGAGTGTTTTTTTACATTTTTTCGATATTGTATGCACTTTTGCAGATTTAAATTCTCCATGAATACATTTGTGTGTTTGAGTTGCACATTGTTTAAATAAAATGTTTGAAAAATGTCTGCTGCTCAAATGAACATCGTCGGGAAGGAAATTTGTTTGAAAATTATCGATTCATTAACGTTATGTTAACGCGACATTTCATTTGCAATTCTTTTCAAATTCGATTTTTATTATCTATGTTTTGATATCGGAGCTATTAAAGATTCTATAGTTTAAATATATGTAAAGATTTAAGTATTCACGATAATATCGTGATTTCCTGAAATATTGGTTTCTTTTTCCGCCAAATTTTTATCTCTCTTGCAATGCAGCTAATAATTGAAATAAATAAAAAAAACGACAATATTCTTTTTCTGATAAGTAGCGCAACAAAGTTAATGTTTACAGATATCTCTGAAACAGAGATCGCTAGGAAATATTTATTAATTACTAGAAACGGAAGACTGATAACGAAACTAATCTAACCATTAAGTATATCTACTACCTGATACATTGTTCTTAAGAAAAATGAAAAACTTCAATTCGATAAGTCTTCGACATTACTCTAATGACTGCTCTGAAAGAATGTCACACGTTACACAATACTATTATTATTGTATGAACGACATATCGAGCTGCGTTATTGCATAATTAACTGCAACACATTATTATTATTGTTATTATTTGTTTTATTTATTTTAGAGTAGTCGCATGAACAGTAGAGTCACTGGCAACTGTAATAGAATATAATAATAATGTTAATAATTAATAATACAGTAATAACAAGTAATGATAATTGATATTTAACTACTATTGCTATTCTATTTGCATTCGACTTTTACGTTTAGCCAACGATCTTTTTCTTTTTTATAAATGAACTGCGGAATTATGTGGTTTCAAATTTTTATAGAGAAAATATTAAAAGAACGGATCCTATATAAAACATCATTTTACCTATTAAATATCATAATTATTGTAAATAATAATATTATTATTATTATATTATTATTAATATTATATTATTACACTATTATTATTAATATTATATGATAATAATATTTTATTAAATAATAAAATAAAATTATGATTCTAATTTTTCCAAAACAAATGCTATAAAATTACCTGCAATGTTTAATAAGCCTACTTAAAGTTCGTGACATCTTAAAATTATATTTTATATTTTATATTATATTTTAAACATTTCAGTAAGTTACATTAAAAATCCACAAGTCTAATTATAACTGTCTAATGATTGTTTATACTAATATCGTGAGATAAAAATTAAACATCAATTGTTGTTATTTCTTTTCTCGGATTTCTACAATTCTCTGTCCAAACAATTACACAAATTGAACGTTTCCTTTTACTCGAGTAATTAATCTAATCAATCATTTTATCGATGCGAGAATACAAAACATCGATTATAGGAAATTAATCCATTAGGGGCCAACGTTGTTTCAACGCAACGTTTTATTTGCAATTCTTTTCAATCAATTTCATTATCAAATTCCGTTTCTCGATACTTATTCGGCCTTTGTTTAATATTTTTTCGTCATTATATCGCACTCTGAGCCTTGTAACTAGACTATGGCCTTTTTTTCTACGCATTCATGAGAAATCGGAAGTTGTGAAAATGCAAACAACACGTAAATATGCGAAAATAAATGAACCATCTAAAGTATACATTATTTGTTATAGACTTGGGCGATTTTTTACAGGAATTTCTAATGCGTGGAATTGCATACAATGTGCGTAACATGAACAAATCTGATACAAAAATGTCCAAATGAATAGTGCTTTCTATAATTACTTACTTATTATAGACACTTAAATATATTGTATAATTAATTACTTATTTATTATGTATTATTTCTATAATACTTGATATTTATTTATTTCGGCCTGAAGTAAGATTTTGTTTACAAGTCCGTGTTCTTAATAGTATAAATTTGCATAAACATCCACAGTCTGAGTATAATATAATGTTAATACATATAATATTATAATTAATAATAAAATAATAAATTTTTATTTAGATTCTACCTTTTTAGTTGTGATTCCAAAAATTCAAAAATACACCAAGATCTGCCTATAACTCTATGAAATTTTGAAAAATTCAAATATCTACAATATCATAGTGAATTATCTTTTGGTGTTTGAATGGATTAAAATACAGCCAGTACGATGTTTCAGAAAAGAATACTGATAAATATCAGTAAACAGTGCTTTGTGTTAAAATTCATAAGTGGCATGAAATTTCCATTTTTTTTTTCTTAAATTCGTGGAATAATAAAGTTAAAAATAAAGTCATATTAACAGTTAACACGTATCTATCGAGAATACCAACTACGAAGCTCTGATTTCCAAAGATAGGATTCTTATTTCCGATACGATCTACCAAACGTTTATTTAATAAAATTAAAATAATTAATTAATGGAAATTCAAGTTCGAAATTCGCCAAATGCACGACATAGCGTTCAAAATTAAATTTAAAATATCTAGAGTAAGTCTACGTTTATTGTGACGTTCAATCGACGAAACAAATTTTTATTTTGCTCTCATTTTAATTAAAATTCACAAAAATCTCTCAGTGTATTTACATGTATTCTCTATTCTTATATTCAAAAGTGAAACAATCGATGAGAAAATGATTAAAAACCTAAGGATCTATAATTTAATGTCTTATTAATTAGTAGAAGTCGCGTTTCTAAACATTAAAAATTAATTTCCTCGGTAAATATGTTTCTTCCTTTCTGAAAATTTAATCAATATTTACTTTAACAGCAAATCACGTTAACGATAACGTTGCGTAACGTTGTGCGACACGTTATTTTGTAAAAAGTTGTGCCTCAATTTGTCTTCGAACGTCGTTACAAATTTTTAAGCGCGTTTGCCAATATTTTGCAAGCGCTAACGCGCCATTTATTCGTTACAACAATTCATCAGGGCAGAATTGAACGCGCATGGTTAAAATTCAACGAAAACACGAACGAGAGGTGCGTGCCTCGCATCGAAAAAAAAAAAGAAAAAAAAAAGAAAAAAAAGAGAAGAAAAACGCTGGACGCGTGATTGAAAACG